ATACATATATATATATTCGGGACGCATAGCATCGTGCCTTAAGGCAAATTGCTGGAACTTCCGTTCCAAAAATTATTTTTTTTTTTAAAATGATTAACATTTTTTAAAAAATTTTACTTCGAAAAGTTTAGATTTTTGAGAAACTATAAATTTGACAAAAAAATTCCTTTTTTTTAAAAAAAAAAATTTTTTTTGAAGAAAATGTTTTTTTTATTTTGACATATTTTGGAAATTCTGAACTTTTTTTCAAAGCAATCATACTGCTTTAACAGCATAGAGACAAAATATCGAAGCGCGTAAGCGCCGCGTCGCCGTCTAACGGATAAACATTGGTACGGAACCCATAGGAATGTAAACAAAATTCAAACTTATTGTTAAAATCTCTATAAAATATCTGATTATTTGATGTGCATATTTCTAATGATCATTTTTGACCGCCAAATGGCATTTTTTTTTACTTTTTCCATTAGATCTCCGAAACCGCTAGACCTGCCTTCATGAAAATTTGATCAGTTCTTTATCTTGTTAATAAGTAAAATGTTTTTTGAATTATTGAAATCGGACGTTCCGTTCTCTTGAAAAATGAGTTACTGTTTTTGGCACTTTTTACCCCATATCTTCGGAACGGCTAGACCTGCCTTCGAAAAAAACTAATCAGCACGTCTCCTTATCAATACGAATCGAACGTTTTTTGAATTATTCAAATCGCTTCATCCGTGTTCCCGAAATCGTCGACAAAAATTTGTATCCGCACACACGAACATACACGCATACACACACACATTTTTTCTAAAGAATGCCAAAATGTTCAGAAGGTTTTGAAACGTAAAGATATATAAAAAATTTTATTTTCGATTTTTTTGCGATTACTATAACTTGCCCTACGGGAAGTTCTTCCCGTAGGGCAAGTTATAGTAATCGCAAAGTTTTGACTGAGTTATAGTAAGCAAGTTTTGACACAACTCTTAAGATCCCTTAAGAGTTGTGTCAAAAAATGTTAATTGCAAAATAACTAGTCGTGTATGGCATCGTGCCTTAAGTCAAATTGCTGGAACTTCCCGTACCGTAACGAAATGTTCGAGGAATATTAAATGTTTTCAAATAGATTTTTATAAATAAATACTGTAACATTGTCTAATATTTTAATATAAGAATTATATAAACTGAATTTCAAAGTTGAAAATATTTGTTTAAAGTATATTAAAACTTAAGTCAGAATTATAATTAATATCTGAATTATTTTCGATATACAAAAAAATATTTTTTGAAAAAAAAATTTAAAAAAAAATGGAAACAATTTTTTTCCAAAAGCAATTATTTTGTTAAAACAAGCAGAAAGTTCTTTGAATCATTCAAATCGAATGCTTAGTTCTCTGCAATTTTTGCCTGCCTTTGCCAAAAATTAATCACCACTTCTCCTCCTCATTACGAATTGAATGTTTTTGGATCATTCAAATACGATGCTCCGATCTGTCAAAAACTCGATTTCTATTTTCTGCATTCTTTGCCACGTATCTCCGAAACGGCTGGACCTGCCTTTGCCAAAAACTAATCAGCACATCTCCCTATCAATACGAATGGAATGTTTTTGAACCATTCAAATCGGTTGATCCATGCGCCCGAAAACGTGGACAAAAAATTGTACCTATACATACATACACACACACATCCATTTTTTCTGAGGTATGCCAAAATGTTCAGAACCCTCCAAAACGTCGAGAAATGCAAATATTTTCATTTTCGATTTTTGGACGATTACAATAACTTATCCTACGGGAAGTATTACTTGATCAATAGGAATTGAGATTTAGTTATTTAGGCAAAATCTTCAATTGTTTATTTCAAAAATAATGTTTTAGCTTTCATTAAAAAATAATCAGTACAATCTTCAATTGATGTCTTTCAAATATAATAATCGTGATATGAATAATGGTATAAATTAAATTAATTAGTTTAAGACATTTCAATTCATCCTTTTCGTTTTTAAAAAATGTATTTTCTTTGACGTCAACTGTAACTAGTAGCTATCTACAAAAAAACAAAGAAAGTACATGTGCTTCGGCATAGATTCTTATTAGAGTCTCTCAAATTCAGGGCGATATTCTGAACTTTGATGAATTATCATAATTCAACCGCTCCAGGGCCGGATTTAGGAATTTGGCGCCCTGGGGCACTGACAAAAATGCCGCCCCATCCCTGAATTTTTACTTAAATAATTTTTATGTATCATTTTTCTAAAATTAAAATAACTATTTGATTGCAGAAAATTTATTACGCATTACATACTATAAATAATGGTGCTTGGCATTGTGCCTTAAGGCAAATTGCTGGAACTTTCCGTACCGAAAATTAAAATTAAAAAAAAAAAAAAAAAATTTTTAAAATGCTTTTGGCATTTTGGCCCGTATCTTCGAAACCGTAAGACCTGCCTTGGCCAATAACTAATCAGCACGTCTCGTTATCAATAGGAATCGAATCATTCAATCATCATTATCAAAAAAATTCAAAATTTAAATAAAGGTTTTTTTTTAATTCAATTTCTTTCATTTTTCAAAAAATTCTAAAGCTCTTTATAAAATGTACTTTTAAGTGCAGGAAGTTTCAGTAACTTGCCTTAAGACACAATGCCATGCGTCACTAGTTTAACTTTTTTTCGGCGCTATAGATTAAAAGTGCACAAATTCGTCATTTTAAGAGGTTTGAGATCTGAAGAACATATTTTTCTTAAACTTTCACCTCGTTTACGAATTTTTATATTAGCCAAATTGCCAAATTTTGCATTGCAATCGTATTATGTTTTGTTAATCATATTTCTTGAAATAAAAAGAATTAATTGAAAAAAAAGAGTTAATTATATTGTATAAAAATTTTTTTTGCTATCTAAATTTTGCCGCCCTGGGCAGTAGCCCCGACTGCCCCTACTGAAAATCCAGCACTGCGCTTATCGTAGGCCTCTAATATTTCAGCATGTTACTTCAGACTACGAAACCTATCGTTATTCAAATTTCATAAAGTATAATCATTCTCACTCATTTATACCTTGTCATTCTGAATCCAATGAGACCAAATTTCGAAAAACTATGTGTCTGTGTATATAAGCCGATTTTTGACCTTTCATCGACGTTTTCCCAAAAACGGTTGAACCGATTTGAAATTTTTTAAAACCATTCCATGTAACTTGATAGGGACTCGCGTTTAATAGTTTTGCGCGACGATCGGTCTAGCCGTTTTTTTTTGTAATTAACATAAAAGTGTGAAATTTTTCGTCCACAATTTTAGCCCGCAATTCTAAATAGATTTTAAATACAAAAACTATTCAATTGTGAATCGCTATTAGTTTTTGGTAAAGATGGGTCGGGCCATTTGCAGCAAGTCTGAATAAGAAATTATCTAAAAATGAGAATTGTTGTACCGAATAGTATTTCAAATGTAGTATCTGGAGTAAGTACTCCTATATAATTTTGAATATTTTCTACAATTATTTTTATAAATATAATTATAGAGTCTCTTTTTATATAGAGGCTGTAACTCTATAGGTTTATACAAGAGTGCGCATAAGGATCACACGCGATTGAAGTAAAGTATTTGCTACTATACAAAGTGAAAAATTTAAGTTAAGTAAAAATTAATACATCATAAAACAATTTTGAATAATGTTTATTAGTAATATGGTAACACTCGTGATGCACACATTTATTAGTGTCAACCATTATACACATTTATATAACGATAAATTATTATAAATTATATATTTATAATAGCATTAAAAATATGTATAATATTTAAAAACAATAAAGTAATAAAAGTCATACTTCGAATATGGCATGATCGGTTTGTCGTTGCAATTAGCATTTAGAAATGAACCTTCATTATTAGTGAACTGAAGTAATTGCTGATTAATAAATTCTATAATATTCGTTCACACAGTGGATTGTGTTAAACAACGCAACTTCACTCGTCATGTAAATGTGTTTGAAGAACTTCATGTAATTAAAATTACCATACATTCATTGACTGCTTGTATTTTTTTTTACTTTTTCGCTTGCGATATAATCTCATTCTTTGAACAGCTGTAATATCTGTCTTGCCTAAAAAAATTTTCCATTTTCATAACTTCAAAGACGGCCCAGATGATTAATTTGTTTTATCATTTTCAAAGAACAGGGTAAAATATTCTTCTGATTCAGGCATTTTTCATTGAATCAAGGTTAGTACTATGATGTTACTTTAAAATTAAAATGTTTTTTTATATTTGCCGATCTCCTTGTTGATATGAATACGCATACAACAACGATGCCGGTACGCATACAACGACAGATCCCTATTCACATACACGACGACTAATCACAATCGATCAGTATAGAAATGATATCATCGAGAGCAAATGACGAATCATTGGCACTCGACTCTTATCTGCCGTAACGCACTTCCGTTGCATTTGTACGGATTTACACCCTAGTCGCGCCTAAAAAAGTTTTACTTCAATAAAAAACTTTAATTAACTTGATTCTACTTCCACACCTTGATTGTCATCGAATAAATTGATTGTTTAAGACATTATTATAGTAATTTATATCTAATGTAGGACATGATGTTAATAAATCCTACTATGTTCATGGTGTAAGATCTAACAATCATCATTTAACTAATAATCTCATATTATTTTATTGTCTACGAGGTAATAATCATTCATTCATTCATTAATTCAATTAAATTCTTGCGTTCATTATAAAAAAAAAGTTTGCTGACAATTGAGGAATAGAAAACCATACGGAATTTGAAAAACGCGTCATCTGTTAAATTTCAAAGCGACTGGGTAAATGTCTCATCTTTCTAAAAACATACTCTATGCTTCAAATGTCAAATAATAAATGCAAGTGAAGTTGAAGTCATTTAACGCGAAACAATTTAAGATTTAATGTAATTTGAAAGATTATTAATTTAATTAGATTACTATTAAGCGCGCAAATGTTTTCGTAAATGTTTGCTGAGTTTACGCCGTGAAAATATTTAAAAATGTCAGAAGAATCAATTATGCCTTTGAATGACCATGCAATTAAAATTGAACCACCAGATTATGTAGAAGAAGACATTAAACGCGAAATTGAAGAATTTGATGTTATTGATGATATTATTAAGTCTGAATCCTGTTCTGAAGAACAGGATGATGACACGTGCTTAGAAAGATTCATGAATTCTGAAGTGACGATAGAAGAGGAAGTCAAACAAGAGTCAATCGAGACATCCGCTTATGAATGTAACATTTGTAACATATCATTTGTAGAATCATATCACCTAAAAGGGCATATGGTTGTTCACAGCAAAGAACGCCCTTTCAAATGCAAAGTCTGTCACAAGACTTTCAAACTACCAAAAGGATTGAAAACACATATGATTACGCATTCTGAAGAACGTCCCTTCAAATGCACAATTTGCAATCAGGCGTTCAAACAATTGGCTGTTTTAAAAAGGCACATGCTTATTCACAGTGGTGAGCGCCCACATCGATGCAGTATATGTAATAAGACATTCACACAATTATGTGCTCTGAAAAAACATATGTACATTCACAGTGGTGATCGCCCCCATGCATGCAACATATGCAAGAAATCATTCACTCAATTAAATCGTCTGAGAAGTCACATGATGATGCACAGTGGAGTACGCCCTCATGAATGCAATACATGTAATAAAACATTCACAGAATTAAATAAACTGAAAAGTCACATGCTTATGCACAGTGGTGAGCGGCCCTATGAATGCAATGTGTGTAGTAAGACATTCACAAATTTGGATAATCTGAAAAGTCACATGGTGATGCACAATGGACTACGTTCCCATGTATGCAGTATATGCAATAAGGCATTTAAACGAGTAAGTGATCTGAAAAGACACATGCTGATACACAGTGGTGACCGGCCCTACGAATGCAATATATGCAATAAGACATTCATGCAATCATGGAAACTGAAAGTTCACATGATGATGCATAATCGAGTATGCCCTCATAAATGCAGTATATGCAATAAGTCATTCAAAAAATTAGATGATCTGAAATGCCACATGCTGATGCATAATGGAGAAAACCCCTATGAATGCAGTATATGCCATAAGATATTCACACAACAAAGTAATCTGAAAAGACACATGCCGGTTCATTATGGAGAGCGTCCTTTTAAATGTGAAATATGCAATAAGACATTTACTCACTCAAGCTATTTGAAGAAACACATGGCAATTCATAGAGTAGAAATTAAATTTAAGTAGATGTAGAATCACCACTCTTCAAACATAAAAAGAATTATCATTCACATATTTTGCTTCCATTTGTTAAAAACAGTAGAAAATCATTAGGTACTTAATCCAAAATATATATATTTTTTATACCAAAATTTATCTCATACTAAATTATATGAATAAATGATATTTATTTATCAAACTGTTCTATTCTTATATATATAAAAATTTTCTGTGATGATGTATGTAAATATACTCCTCCTAAACGATTATTCGGATTTTGCTAAATCTGTCTAAATTTTGTTATGAGAATTTTTTAGTATGTATGTGATTATAGAAATATAGTAATATTGTAGAAATAAATGAAAAAAATTGCATAAAACTACATGTCAATATTTGAGACATAATTTGGCATTGAAAACAAATGAAAACTGTCAACTGCCAAAAATTTCAATTTACCTATGAGCCTAGACAATATTAGAATATGTATTATAAATTCATGATTAAGAATGAGCAAAATGAAATGTTTACATTATTATTGCCAAAAAGTAGCTGAGATGTGCCAGAAATTAAATTAATATAAGATATACAGATTATGGCAGATTGAATGATGCACGATTTGACAAATTTTATGGCAGATTGAATGATGCACATTTAAACAGGATTTGACAAATTCACTTGAAATATGAAATTAAGTAATAATCAAGGCCGTTCCTACGTTGAATGCGACGCACGCCTTAGGGGGCGCCAACACAAGATTCAGATATGAAGTTTTCAATATAATTCAGTATTTTTGAAATACGTTAAAAATTGCACTTTAAAACAACAAATGGGAAAGTAAAGATGAATATACAATTCATCGGTCCTTACGATATCATGATATCGTAATTAGGAGAAGTTTAAACGGTGCAATTTTGGATATCTTAAATAATAAAAAAATAAACTAAAATAATCCAACATGCAGTATCAGTGTTATGTTATGGTTATGTTTAATAATGAAAGGCTAGAACTTTTTTGCTCTCTATGATTTGCTCAATAGAATATATCGCAGAAAATGCCCAAAATAAATAGGTGAAATGTTTCAAAAGCCAAATATTAATTAATGATAATAACTTTAATAATAAACTGTTAAAATAGGCAAAATAATAATAAGAGAGGGGGCGCTAGAAAAAAATGGCATGCGGGCGCTTATTAAAAGTATTACTAAGAAAAATGTAATTTAGATATTGTAATTACTAAAAACCAGTTAAAATATGATACGAGGTTATAAAAATCATAGGCACCATTATTGGAGCAATTATTTTAAAATTGAGTGAAAAAATCCAAGGTAATATTGTTGAAAAACTTCAATTTGCAATAGTGTGGAAATTGAGAATCATTTTATTTAAAGCAGTTCTACATTTAACATCGCCCATATTTATGTGCAGAGTAATTTAAGAAAAACAGTAATTATTATTTTTAATTACACGTTAAATATTAGTATAGGATATTAAAAAATTTAAACGTGGGTACAGGACAACGTCTGTAGGGTCACCTACTATACTCATAATTTTAGTTATCATAACCCCATGTTATAGACTTAGATAATTCTCAAAAATGTTAATTAAAAGATATACTCAATTGTAAATTATAAACAATAAACAATGTTTATAAGAAAGCAATTTTTATACAATTAATAACTCAACTGCGTTTAAAAAAATATTTGAATTGACCGCCAAATTTGGTTTTGATTTGAATCATTTTTTTTCCTCCCGGCAGATGGCGACCACCAAATTTATTGAGACTGAAGTTTTGTTTATAAACTTCATAACCTCAATTTTAATTGGTACTAAATTTGAGCGCAAAATATGTAACAATTGTATAAATTTAAAATTTGTCGTTTATAAGAAAAATAAATAAAATTCATTGTTAAAAAACTATTCTATCAGTAAATATGAGTGTAAAGGATGTACCTATATTAACAAATGCCAATGTCTATGCCTTGGCATCAACAAAATCAGTAAGGCAGAGTATTCAAACTTTGAAAATCCACAGAATTTTTATAAATTATGACAACAAAATAACAGTTGACAAACTATTTGATATATTATTTGCCATGGTAGGAAATTCGTCGTTTTGTCCTACGAATGTTAAAACAGAAGACAACTGCTTAACCTTCTGCGTCCAGAAATGTGCATCAGCTTTAGATAAATTGTTTAAGAATAACTTAGTTCTTAAAGACGGTTACAACGCTTATTATATTAAAGTGCAATTGTGTTACCAGCTTGCTAACAACCAAGATATACCAAGTGAATTCCTGCATCAACTTTTCAATAAACGTTTCAATCTTAATGTACTTAACCTCGAAGGCATTGCTAGTGAGATAACTAAAAAGGATATATACATGTCCCCGAATAATTTAATTTCCATCGGGGCTTATTTATATCAATTTCTGTTTGCTTCTGGACAAAATTTCACATCTGTAATTCGAACCATACGATTGAATAATAATGGCCTGAAAGATCTGCAAGGAATTAAATACTTATTGGTGTTTACCAATTTGACTTCACTTTATCTAAGAAATAATTTATTGGGAGATGTTTCTGTATTGGAGCCTTTGAACACCAAATCATTGGACATAACTGATCTCTGGTTAGACGGCAATCCTCTATGTGATAAGTACACCGATGAAGCTAGTTATATCAAAGACGCTAAATCCTATTGTAATAACCTTGTAAAATTAGATGGAACTTTGCTCAAAACTGGTTTGCCCCAGTCCAGGAGAAACTTTGTATGTGACAATGAAGCTGCACAATTAGTAGATCAATTTATGGAACATTACTTTACAGTTTTTGATATTTGTAGAAAGAATCTAGTGGATTTATATGACGCAAATGCACTATTCTCATTAAGTTCATCCCTTACACCAACAATGCTAACCGGTTCAAGTCCTTCCAAAGTATTTTCCTCTGCCAGTCGCAATATTTTACGCTTATCTGATATAACTAGAGGACAAGATCAATTGCACAAAGGAGCAGAAAACATAATCAAATTTCTGGATACGCTTCCTAAAACCCAGCATGACCCTTATACATTTACAATAGATATCGTCCAACACGATGCATATAGCACAACTATCATGGTCACCGGGATGTTCAGGGTTTTCTCAAATAATCCTGATACATTTTATAACTTTTCTAGGACATTTCGAATAATTCACTGCGGTCACAATAAATTCAAAATTTTCAATGAACTATTAGCAATCACTAATTCTGTTACAAATTACCCCAAAGGTTTTACCAAAACAGTTCCTGCAAGGTTGTCTGAATACAACAAGTTATTTGGAGAACTAAATAGTGAAGAGAAAAAAGATATGTGCAAGATGCTGTCGAACATAACCGAAAAATCTGAATACGTTTGTGAGAAATATTTAATAAGTGCCTCTTGGGATATGAAAGCTGCTATAAATTTATTTATAAAGGATTTTACCAGTAGCCCTAGTTAAGGATAAATAAATAAAATGGATTAAGATTTTAAATGTCTTTTGAGAAAATGAATTATTTTGTTATAATTGAGATAAATGATATTAGTTTTATATTAAATTTGCTTTTGATAAGTATTTTAGAATTTAAGAATATTTGAAACGCTTTTATATATAAATATACAATGAAATGATATATGTAATTATATGAATAAATGAAATATATAATTATACTATGAGTTATTTAGAATATATATATATATATTTATATATATATATATATATATATATATATATATAATATTTAGTTCTGATTTCTGAGCTTGAAGAAATTGCTCAAATCTCACTTTAAATAACAATTTATTTTTATTAAGGGTTGTCCACCCCTAATATTTTTTTGAATTTCAGGACCAATTCTCTTTATTAACTTCCCGTAGGGTAAGTTATTGTAATCGCAAAAAATCGAAAATGAAAATTTTCGTATATCTTCACGTTTCAGAGGTTTCTGAACATTTTGGCATACCTCAGAAAAAATAGATGTGTGTGAGGAAACAATTTTTTGTCGACGATTTCGAGCGCGCGGTCAACCGATTTGATTAGTTCAAAAAACATTCGATTCATATTGATAGGGAGATGTGCTGATTAGTTTTTGGCTAGGGCAGGTCCAGCCGTTTCAGAGATACTGAGCAAAGAGTGCAGAAAATAGAAATCGAGTTTTTGAGAGAACGGAGTATCCGATTTGAATTATCGAAACAATTTCGTAATGACGAGGAAAAGTAGTGATCAGATTTTGGCAGAGGCAGGTCCAGCCGTTTCGGAAATATAGGGCTGAATGTGCAAAAAATGGCAGTTTTTGAGAGAACTAAGCATCCGATTTGAATGATTCATGTTTTGACAAAACAATTGCTTTTGGAAAAAAAAATTGTTTTATTTCAATTTTTGATTTCGAAATATAACAGTTGAAGATTTAAAACTTAATTATCTGAATTTGAATTCTCGGGAAGTTTATGTAATTTACCTTAAAGAAAAATGTCACTTACACCTATAGTTAATTATTAACTTCCCGTGGGACAAGTTATAATTTTTTTTTTATATATCTTTAAGTTTCAAAGGTTTCTGAATGTATGTGGTGTGCGTGTGTGTGTGTGCGGATACAAATTTTCGTCGACGATTTCGGGAACACGGTTTAACCGATTTGAATGATTCAAAAAATATTCGTTCGCTGTTTATAAGGAGAAGTGCTGATTACTTTTTGGCAAAGGCAGGTCTAGCCGTTCCGAAGATACGGGGCAAAAAGTGCCAAAAACGATAACTCGGTTTTTAAGAGAGAGGAGCGTTTGATTTTAATAATTCAAAAAACATTTTACTTATATTGACAAGGAGAAGAACTGATTGAATTTAAAGACGTGCTTGTCCGTTAGACGGCGACGTGGCGCTTACGCGCTTCGATATTTCGTCTCTATGCAGTTAAGCAATACGATTGCTTCAAAAAAAGTTCAAAATTTCCAAAATATTTCAAACTAAAAAAACACATTTTTTCCAAAAAAGTAATTTGTTTTTCAAAAATTTAAAATTTCTCACAAATCTAATTTTGTCAAAGTTTAAAACATATTTAATCTTTTTTTTCTAATTTTAATTTTTGGTACGGGAAGTTCTAGCAATTTGCCCTAAGGCACAATGCCTCTTACACCTAGCAAATTATTCTTATTGGAACAGAACTTGAATCTTATTATATAAGAAATGAATGAGCTCTGGCAACACTTCTACACTACATAACCTATTACGTCAAAACGTCAAAGTTCTAATTTTGCTTCGTGCAAAATTTAATTATTCACATTTTTTCAATCTGTAATGATTTTTCAGATCTAAACCTAAATATGAGCACCCACGCAAAAAAAGTCTGCAGCCTTTATAAAAGGGCTTTACGTAATTTGGAAAACTGGCGATGGCAGAGGTTAGAAGGAATATTAAAATAAAAATAGACTTTTGTGTTAACAATTTTGTTTCCAGGGATATCTTTCGTTATGAAGCTACACTTTTAAGACACAGATTTGATTTAAATAAGGATGAAAAGGACCCCAGAGTTGCCCAAAAACTTTTGGCAGAAGGCGAAGAAGAATTATTTCAGAACATGCACTACCAGCCAAGACAATGTAAGTAAACTAATAAAAATAGTAAACAAAATTGAATTTTTATTATTGGTATAAATATACAAGGTGAGCCAGAAGTCAATTTAAGATCCCAACCGGGTTGCAACCATCATGAAACAATGAATATATTCAAACCGATACAATTTTTCAGTTATTGTGGTCAATTTTTGCTTTTGTGTTTATTGAAACTTTGGAAGTATAATCTTGAACAATATTTCTAGAACCACGGTCACAAAAATAAAGACTCAATTGTGCGAAAGATAGTAAAAAAATTTGATTTTTTTTATTATTGGTATAAAAATACAAGGTGCACCAGAAGTCAATTTAAGGTCGCAATTGAGTTGCAACCATCATGAGACAATAAATCTATTAAAACCGCTATCATTTGTCATTTATTGTGGTCAATTTTTGCTTTTGTTTATTGAAACTTTGAAACTGTAACCTTAAACAACGTTTCTAGAACCACGATCACAAAAATAAAGATTTAATTTTCCCAAATTTACTAGAATTGAATATATTTGTTTACTATGAATATAAAATTTTCAAAATTTGACCTCTTTAATAGGGTCTCCTTTAAAAAATATGTGCTTAAGTGCTTTGGCAAGTGTTATTAAGAGTTTGCATATTTAATCAGTATTGTATAATGATACAATATTTGTTAGTTTTGTGCTAGAAAACTTAAAATCTAAAGTTACCTGATTTTTGCTAACCTTCTTTACTGAGTTACATCATTATTTATATCGCTCATTGGCAGACATGTCCATTATTATCAGCAATTTGACCAGGAATTTTTAGATTTTCTGTAAATGCCTTTAATTTTGTTTTAATTCTATACTGGATGGCATATATTTTTTCCTGATTCCTCTCATGATGGTTACAATCAATCCTATCATCTGGTTTTTGAGTTCTGGTATAACCTGTATAAATATAATATTTTAAATCGAGTAATGTTAAAGGTAAAATTTTTATCAAAAACCAATATTTTTATTAAACATCATTAACATTCAAATGTAGAAGCATACAGATACACTTTTTTAACCATGTAGTTTAAACAATTTGTTGCTTATTTTATTATTATTATATTATTTCTTTAGTTGCCTCAAGCCCTGGTGGAGTAGCGTACGGCCGTGATGTTATTCCCCCAGACTGGGTTATGGATTACTGGCATCCATTGGAAAAAGCCCAATATCCCAAATATTTTGAAAAACGTGAACAAATGAAGAAGGAATACATCGAATTCTATGAAAAGCAGTATGGAAAACCAACCGAAGCCCCCAGTCATTGAAAGATTTTAATGCTTTTATATTAAGATCTATTGATGCTTTATGTATAAAATCTAGTGATTATAGGAAATGAAATAAATATAAATTAAATGAATGACGGTGTTGTGATTAAGAAATAAAAGGGTAAATGGAAATTATTGACTGTAAAAATCAAAGATAAATCATCATTTTCATCAAAAAAATATGATTATATATAAAACATCTTTGTTGCAGTATTTCCTCTCTAATGGAATATCAAAACTTAGGAGCATTTTGTACAAAAAGTAGTTTAAAACACCGTGTTTATAATTTAAAAGTAAATAAAAGTAAATAATAAAAGTATATACAAACTTTTATGTAGTTATGCAGGAATCTATATTTTTGCATTTGCGTATTCAGATAGTAGTTATTTTTGATGTTGAGATATATGAGTAGGTTTTTATAGGGCGATACATCAAAGAAAAAACAAAGATTTATAAATTAATCTTTAATTCTATATGTTTCAATATTCAATTTATTGTTATCATCAGTGGATCTAAAAACAGTGAAAAAATTGATATATTTTACCTGGTTATATCAATTTTTTCACTGTTTTTAGCATTTTAGTTTTATTTATTCAATTTCAAACCATTCAGAATACATTTGTTATATATATATATATATATATATATATATATATATATATATATATATACATTATACTTTATACAATGGGGAAAACGCATTAAAAGCTCATAGAAAATAACATTAATTTGAAATGGAAAATGGCTCACATTGTCGAGAACCTTATTATGTTAAGACATAGGCCTACCGTACAATGTGGAAATAAGATTTAAGTTCAAATTATATGCGTAAGCATCATATAGAAGAATGCAAGGCAGAAATAGAAAATTGCATAAACTGTTTTTACTCTAATATTAAATATAAAACCAATTAGATTACTCATAAGTCAAATAATATTATTTACCCATGTTGTCAACACCGAGTAAAAACCATCAGATATATAGAAACATCTGGGGAAACCTGTGCAAAGCTCATAGAAAATAACATACAACAATAACAAATATCTGGGATTAAAAATATTGTATGTGTGAGCATTACAAGAATGCAAGGCAGAAATAGAAATAAAGCAAATTACAAATTATTACTCATAAAACAAATAATATTATTTGCCCATGTTATCAACACTGAGTAAAACCCATCAGATATATGGGGAAACATCTGGGGACACCTTTTTCAAATGTATATACATTTAGGACAAAAAATGCGTCATATTTCTGAAGTCCTAAATAAATTAAGATATTTTAAAACTCAGGCCTGCTACAAACATAGAGCAACATAATGTAGAAATAAGACTTACTATTCAAATTGTCGTGTGGGTGAGCATTACATCAAATACTAACAGGCAGAATATAACAAATTACAAATGTAATTAATTGCAAATAATATTATTTATTATATATAATATTATTCACTCAACATATAGTAAAAATCATCCAATTCACTATTAATTATACAAAGGCCAAATTGAAGATGAAAAATAACAGCAAAAGCAATAGAAACAAGGACGCCTAAATTAATATCATGTATAATAAAAATAAGGCTAATCAAGAAATGGATAGTAATTTTAAAATAACTAATACATCTTAATACATACCTACGAATGCATTAGCCATTATTAAAAATTAATGTACATTCACAAGTTTGATTTCAAAATTTGTTTGAACAAGTTTGACAAGACATAACAGTATAACGGAAACATTTTTTTAATAACACTTAGCACTGACACTGACTTTAAATCAATTAAAAAATACATATTCAAATTTATTGATAAACCAATATGCTTTAAACATTGCAAATTCGCCATCACAAACGTTTATTTCAATTTGAATTACTCTTGTAACCGATTTGACAGCACTCTTCTACCCGCCATTTTGAAAAAGTATTGCCAGCCTATAAAACAAATCCAGAGACAACCCGAAGTAAAAAGTGTTTTTATCACATCTGGCAACTTTCTGTAAACTTTCTATGCGTTGTGTCTACAGTCAGTTGTTAGCTAAATATTGATTTCTGGATTTCGGCGTCCAAATTTCAAAACGTAATCAAAATAAACCCCTAACAAAGTAATCCAGTTGTTTTTGACCTTTTCCCAATTTCATTTATATTTTACCTTTTTCCAGAATGTCCGCTCACGACGATTTTGCAGAAGATAGGGGACTGGATGATTTTGAAAACGACAGAAAAGTTAATCTTAATGATTATTCCCGGGACGACGATCAAAATGATAGTAAAAATGGATTTTCGGGTCACAAACCAGGTTAGTTAAATTAGCAGTTTCATGAAAACAATTTATACCAGCTTTCTTTTTAAACCAGGAGAATATATTGCCAAGTTACGTGGGCTGCCTTGGGGAGCCACTCAGAATGAAATTTTGAAGTTCTTTGATGATTGTGAGGTTGTAAATGAACGGGATGGCGTTCATATTATTATGTCCAAGGATAATAGACCATCCGGGGAAGCTTTTGTTGAATTTGCTTCTGCAAATGATTTAGAAAAGGCGCTGAAGAAGGACAGGTGCCATATGGGGAGCCGATATATAGAAGGTATTTTCACTGCTTCTTAATTGCTTAATTCTTAATGCATAAGTATTCCAAATTAGTTTCACATATCACATACTGTTTTGATTTTCGAACAAAAATAACAAAATTTATTATATATCACTAAAAGTGCAATTCTGAAATAAGTCTCCATTAGAGAAGTATTGTCCGTTTCTTTTTAATTTTTTCTTCCAAGTTGTGATAACTTAGTTAAATGAAGTACATCTACATTTACATCTCATTTTCATTTTAACATTACTATAAACAACTATTATTAATTTATCTTCAATCTCTTAAAAAGCAATTTTAATTTGTTTTGTAATACATTAAAACCTATATTTATCCATCTGTATATTAGATTTTATTCAGATTTTAAGGTTTTTATTATAAGTTATTAGTGTTTTATATCTCATAAATGTAGTATTTGTCACATATTTTCATTTTTACATATCTATAAACCACTTCTATCAATTTATTAATATTTTGTTACAGAATTATAAATTATTAATACTGGATAGCTTTTCCATAAATTTTCTTTCTTTTAATTCACGATTGTGATTTGGAACGCTTGTATTAATATTTCCAGTTATTTTAGTTTGATAATTAAGTATATTTAATTAAAATTCAATACTTTTTGATTCAACAATGACTTTATTAGACATCAATATTTTTTGTACACTTTTTTTGTTGATGTATTAAAAGTCATGACAAACTTAATCTAAATTGGAGCTCATTTGCTCCAGATATTTTGCAATCATTTAACATTTAAAAAAATATCTCCTTTTATTTATTATATCATTTAAGTCTTTCATAAATTATTTTCAAGTGATCATAGTTTTACATACTCATAAATGTAGTATTTTACATATTTTAATATTTACATTTCTCTCAACCACTTTTATCAATTTATTATCAATGTCTTGACATAGAATTATAATTAGATTTAAAATATTTATCTTCTTATTTATTATTTACCTTTAAAGTCTTTTCATCAATTATTTTCAAGTTATCATAGTTTTATGTCTTATATATGAAGTATATCTTTAATTTTAACAATATATATTTATTTTATTATTCATATTAACTATTCTTATTAATTTTTCTTTAATATCTTGAAATTTGATCAACTGTAGTTAGCAATGTTTAAGAAAAATATATCATAAAACATTTTTTATATTAGCTTTAACATTTAAATAAACTACTTTTATTAATTCATCTATTTTCCAATATGGAACTTGAACTTAATGATTTTTTACTATTTATACTATATATACCTATACTATTTTTGTATATTATTCTAACAATCTAATTCTATTATATAATATATTGTTACAGTTTTCCGTTCCCGGCCATCACAATTTGAATATGCAATTCAAAGTCAATTCACTGAACGTGATGCGTGTGTAAAACTGAGAGGATTGCCATTCCACAGCACCAAAGACGATATTATAAACTTCTTCAAAGGTAATATTCAATTTAATATAATTTCTAATGTAATCAGTTAGTAAACACTTTGAAAAAAATATATATCTTTCCTTCTTAGCTTTTTTGACGTAAAGTAAAGGTATTGCATAAGAAATCAAATTAATAACTAGTTAATTAGGTGCAGAAAATTTTGTGTTACATGCCGATTTATGTGACATAAATTGTAATTTGAATGATTGAATATTGATTTGAATGCCGGTTAAAAAATTGAATCAATGAGCAAACAAACACAATTTTTAAAATTTAGTTGTATAATTGAATATTGTTAAACAAGGTTAGTTAAGATACTTGTCATTAGCATACTACATTAATGTAGTTATTTGTAATTTGTCGAGTGAAAAAGATCTACAAATATTTTTAAAATTATATTAAATATTTGTATCAAAATGTTGGTCATTTAGCAGTTAGTCATGTAATGATTGATTTAACATTGGCTTTAGTAACTAGTGATTACAAATGAAATCTAAATTGAAAACATGCGTTAAAATTAAGGGTCTAATTTAATCATTTTATTAGATAAGTCTCCTATCATGCTTATCCCTGTTGTTAGTATAAAAAGGGATCTTTACAAAAAGGTTTGGCCTTCAAGTAATATTTGTGGTTTATAATCCTATAGTGAATTTATTTTTTTATGTGTTTTTGCATATTTCGTCTGCGTGTGGTACATTGGGTTTGTACTTGGGATTGTGGTGGCCTTTCATCGTGGGATGCACTGGGATATCTCTGGGCTCTTCACATGGGATTGCTGGAAATGGGTTTCTCTCCTTTTATACAAAAAAATGTGTGGTATTATATCGTAATAATTTAGATTTGAAGATAATACCAAATGGGATAACAATGGTGAAAGAAGGATCGGGGCGTGCGAGTGGGGAGGCTTTCGTTCAATTTGCAAGTATGGAAGACGCGGACGAAGCCTTAAAGAAACATCGTGAAAAGATTGAATACAGGTGGGAAGGGTTCACTTATGATTTGTGATAGTTTGAAATAGGTGATTGTTCTATAAGAGCTCAAACTATGTTGGACAATTCTCAAGAATTGAAATTGATATATATTTGTTATTTTGTTCAGTAGATCAACGGTAATTTGTTTATTCTAATTATTGCTAATCTAATTCTTATTTGTGTGATTGTTTACTTTTGGAAGATGGTGCATGAGAAAGCATTATATATATAAAAGCATACATTTCAGTTTCGGGTAGCGATATGTGCATAAATATTTGATTTGGGTGATGTTCCAGATTTGTTAATTAATAGTAATCATACATTATTAGTATAGAAGACTTAAGCCTAAATTTGTACCATATCTAAATGCATAGAGGTAGTAGAACTTACATTTATTGGCATATAAAATATTCGTCACTTTGCCGCGGGTCTACTGTATTTTTAATCGTTAAATATGCATCAAGGTTACCAAGAATATATTTGTATTTGTTAATTTACAAATCCCGTGTTCAAAAATTACTCAAATCTTTTATATATATATATATATATATATATATATATATATATATATAATAAGTCTGTTTTTACACGGTCTTTTTGTACACGGTTTTGATGTAACACGGTTTGAAAATTGAATATTTTTAATTTTTTTACACGATTTTATTCCATTTAGCACGATTTGAAATTTTATGTACTTAAATTTTTTTGTCAAATTTAATTTTTGCGAAGTATGTTCATATCACAAAAAAGTATTTATGAAAGAAAAAAGTCTGAAACCATCGATAGTATCGATAGTTTGCGAACACTAACTTAAAGATTTAAGTGAATTCCCCTTTAGCGCGTACAAATAATTTTTACTGGTCAAAGCAAATGTGAATAGCACTAATTTAGGGGAATTCCCTTTATGTGCACAAAATAAAATTTACTGGCTAGAATGCGAATAACTGATGACGACAGCAATTAAATTTATGTTGTTGTATTTATGATTATCATTTATTCTATTTTATTTTATTTTTTACCTTAAAAATTGAATAACCTATTCTTTTCGTTCACAACATAGTTTTTTAGTTCCTGAACTTGCCATACATTTAATTTATATTACTTTTAAGATTAGAGTGCATATCCTTTTTATCATTAATTACTATGCTTGTGAAAATAAGCATTATATATTTGATTTAATAAAATAAACATGAATTCTTGATCTTAAAAATTCTTGTTTTTCACTAATTTTAATAGGTTTTAGAGATTAGGAACAAATCACCCATTTTTGTATAAGATCAATGTCTTTTTTTACACGTTTTTTTTTTACACGGCTTCTTCTGGAACCAATCTACCGTGTAAAAACAGACTTAGGTGTATATATATTTGAAGTATTTTGCAGCCCAATCCTGGAATTAAAAAAAGATTAAAATAGAAAATTTTTTTATTCTATAAAACGTTTGCACACTTAATGTGTGTCATCATTCACTAATCTAAAAAAAACATTGCATAAATAACAATAATTGATATTAAATATAAAAAGGAGAAAATTATATACACACCAAACCAAGAAAAACACAAAAAAAATTATATAAAATTTATTAAACACTAAACTTGTGCAAAAGAACATTATAACTAACTTTCAACATGTCAAATCCAATCAATTATATATTGAAAATTGGGACCTTAGAAAGATAGTTGGATCGTTATTCATATCTCTTAATACTTCTTGTGTCAACAAATGGAATTCCTCCCATCTTTTACATGGCAATTACAAAGTCATTATAAATTTCATGAAAAGTAATTCTTAAAATTGAAAAGTAACCGTTTTCCAATCATCTCAATTGCATGGTAAATAAAATAGATGTATTATTCAAACAATGATTTTGATTAAATTATATTTCCAAAAATAATTTGTGATTAAATTTATGTCTCAAATCCTTCAGATGTTAAATTACAAAATTAAAAATAATTTTTTTTAATAACTTTGTTGCATGTTCTTTATATTTTTTAGGTACATTGAAGTGTTCCGAAGCAGCTTAGATGATATCAGGCATTATCAGGATAAAATGAATTATGGCTCTAGTAACCGATCAGGTGCTTCCAGTAGGCCTGGACCATATGATAGAAATTCAAGGAGCAGATATCAAAGCGGCGGCAGTCGAGGTGGAAATAATAATATGAGATATCAAAATAATGGTAAATTTTATATTTATATTACTTGAATCTAAAATATTTAGTTTCTCACTAATTAAGTTGAATCCAGACCATAATTTTTCTTTCAACATGTTGATGAAGTTTATTTTTGCCAAAAAATCCTATTTGCTAATTTAAAACTTTTGTTTTTTAAAGGTAATAACTACAATTACAAAAACACTTTTGTAATATTTTTTAATGTTACTTTCTCTGTATTTCTTTACGCAGTAATTTTGATTTTTTTTCCCGATTTTATGATATCAACAGATTCATTTTTTCGATTTTTGTTGAAAATCGATAGGGCCATTTCTTCATAATTAATTGTAAATTGTTTACGAATTTATCTTTGAGTGTCTACACATTTAGTCATTATTTTTTTCTAAATTATCTACATATAGACTTCAGTAATTAATTGATGTTAAAAATTTGAAGGCTTTGATCTAACCTAGTCTTTCTCAAAGTGGGCGATTGTAATATCCAGTAGGATGATAAGCGGACTCTAACTAAATTTTTTTACATGTACACACTGTTTTAAGTAGCGTTTTATTTGCTCTCACTGGTAAAATTTTCTAATTTAGAATGAAATTATTTTTTAAATAACATAGTGCACTATAACTATATTATTAAAATTTATACTCGTATAAAAATATTTTTAGAGAATATATAGGTGTAAAAAAAGGGGGGTGTTGGAAGAAATGAGTTTGAGAAACGCTGATCTAAACGATCATACTACAATAATATAGGATGCTTATGAATAGTGGTTTAATTATTATTTATTAATTTTTTCACGGTGTATATTCCGTTCTTCACTTTGTATTGATCACCGTTGACGCCTGCACTAAATTAAAATAGCGTTAATACGAATTAGAAATAATTGTGTTAAATAAATTAAATTTAATTAATACAATTGCGGATATGTTTTTTGTTTGAGAAATATTAATTGGAAATCGCATTAGATAGTTTTTAACAATGGATTTTCTTTGTCTAATTAGCCAAATCGAAATCATTGAATTAATTATTTACATGTACTGGAAAGTTCATGCAACTTTCTTTAATCATGTATAAAAAATATATTCAACTAGTAGTGTATGGCATCGTGCCTTAGGGCAAATTGCTGGAACTTCCTGAAATGAACAGTAAACATTCTAATATTTATAAGAATTATATTAACTGAATTGCAAAGTTAAAATTATTTATTTAAAATATATAAGCGAACTTTAGCTAGAATTAAAATTAAAATCTGAATTATTTTCGATGTACAAAAAAATATTTTTTGAGAAAACAAAATTTTGTAATTTTTTTTTTCCAAAGCAATTATTTTGTTAACACAAGCAGGAAGTTTTTTGAATCATTCAAATAGGATGCTTATAGTTTTCTCAAAAACGGCCGTTTTTTATACAACTTTTTTTTGTATATCGAAAATAATTCAGATTTTAATTTTGTTCTAATATACTTTAAATAATTTCAACTTTGTAATCCAGTTTATATAATTTTTATAGATATTAGACAATGTTACAGTATTTATAATATTCTATTTGAAAACATTTAAAATTCCTCAAACGTTTCGTTATAGTATGGGAAGCTTCAGCAATTTGCCTTAAGGCACGATGCCATACATCACTAATTTTATTTTATTTCTAAATAATTATTCAATTTTTTAGGTATGGGCGATTGGGGTAGCAACAACATGAGAATGAGCAACATGGGAAGTGGCGTAGGCCCGTTAATGCCCAGGTTGAACTCTGGAAATCTGGGTGGTGGAAACATGGGTAGGTTTAATGACTATCCACCGGCTGATAGGTTTATGAACGAATCAAATATGGGAAGAATGAGGGGAGGTGATAATATGGGCATGGGTTTGTAGTCTTATTAGTTTCTTCATTTATTTACTAATTATTTATTATTATACAATTATTGGACGGTCTAATCAGCAAATATTGGTTGTGATATCCAAATCTTGATTTAAAACTGATTATATCAATTATTTTTAGGTATGAGAAGTTCCCAAAACAACAGCAGGTACATGGGCCGTGGAAATGATGATTGGATGGACAATGGTAGAGGGAACAGTAGAGGATCATTCAACAATGGCTCTGGTGATTTCAGATCACGGGAGAACTTTATTCACATGAGAGGATTACCGTTCAAAGCCAGGACTTGTGATATAATTGATTTCTTCAGGCCAATTGTTCCTATTGACGTTAGAATTAATTTTGAACCTAATGGTCGTGCCACCGGCACTGCTGATGTGGAATTTGAGTGTCATGATGATGCATTAGATGTAAGTAGAGATGGATTTTATGTAGTAATTATATTTACTACATAAAATTATGTGTATTTGTATTTTTATAATGTTGTGAATGTTTTTTAGGCTATGACTAGAGATAGGCAGAATATGGATAATAGGTACATAGAATTATTCTTAGGATCAGGCCCTGGTAAAGGGCGAGGAGACTATTAGTGTGCTGATGACAAATGTCTAGTGATGATAGGCATTTTAAATGATATTTTGTATTTTTAGAGTATGACTAAATTTAAGAAGAAATTAACTTATGGTTTTCATAGAATTTATATTATTTTTCCACAATTCATATATGCATTCATTATTTTGTTCTTACTAAATGTATTTAAATACATAATAAAATGTGAATGATTATTTTTCACCAATCAGTTCTTGTTGTTTACTATCAAGTAGTTTTTGAGCCTCTTCTAGATACGAATCTGCAATTGAGGTTATTTGCAGTTGTACATCGTGTACTAAGTCTTCAGATAATCCAGTCTGCTTTTTAACTTTCTTTATTGCATTGTTTTGATTATCTTTGATACTATCACGACATTTTATAAATAATGTCTTAGCGTTCTTGGACAGCAGCTCACGGTGCTCTTTGGTCACCCTAAAAAGTAAAATAGATATTAAAACAAATTATTATATTTGCATGTATATTACAATTCTTACTTTGGTACTGGTATAAACAAAGTAGTACCATCCTGTTGAGGATTCAAATTCATCCCAGATTTACTCAAGGCTTTAAGAACCTCAGGTATAACCTGAGGAAATGAAGTCATATTTACAACCACGGTCTTTGGGTTCTTTCGGACAATTTGAGCCAGTTCTTGAAGCTCGTACTCCTTTCCTTCAAATTTGACTGGCAGTGCATCGATAGCTCCGGTTGTTGATCTCAATGACAAATTCTTTACGAATTCATCTTTCAAATGGTCAACACATTTAGTCATTTGTTTCTTTAAATTATCTACATCTAAGACTTCAGATAATTGTTCTTCGTTTATTGCAACCTTTTGTTTTTTCTTTGACTTATCTTTTTTTATGTCTTTGCCTTTTGCATAATGTCTTGCTGATTGGATATTTACATGTTCAGGTACACTTAATAGATTAGGACATATATTTTTTGAAATAATATTGTTACTTAAAATTGGAGCACTAAGTTGACAATGGGACACAAACAATCGTCTCGATAATATTCGTAACATTTTTAAATTTATATATTTTTATAACAGCATAATAAGTATAAATGTTTATTTTTTCAAACAAACCAATCTATGTACATGTGTTAATTTATTAATATTTAATTTTCGTCTTCAAATGCACATGTTATCACATAATAGAAAAATTTGTGAACTGTCAAAAATATTTTAGGTTATCCCAATAGCAGATTGAAGAGATAGAAAGAGAGCTGATAGAGCACTTATTCATGGTCTTAATTTTTTACTTAAATATATTTTGAGTTATATTGATTTTTTTCTTTTGCTCCAAAGATTTACTCCAAAGATTTACAAATAATAATTACAAATAAATAATATATTTAATATATGATTATTCATTACTTAAATTTTACTCATTTTAGATTATCATATTGATTTTTTTCTTTTGCTCCAGAGTTTTACAAATAATAATTACAGATGAATAATGTATTCATTATATGATTTTGCAAAATTTTTCTTGCATACTTTTATGTTATGTATACATTTTTATATCCATTTCATCATCACAAAATCAAAATTATAATTATATCCATTTCATCACCAAATCAATATAATTATAGTGACATAAAAGTTATGTTATGTATAACATAATTTGTTAATTATAAATTTTTTTTTGAAAATTATATAATATTTATTATTATACTATTCATTTGTAATTTTTATTTGTAAAACTTTATACATTTGTAATTATTATTTGTAACTATAGTTAACTTTTTTGCTAAATAATTTCCTAATTGGTAATTTATGCACAATTTGCTCAAATTCTTTGGTATTTTATGGCCAATTCACTAATTTTATATTTTCTCGACATTCTAAATTGTTTGATATAAAAATTACAAAAGGCTTTATGTATGTGTGCATAGATAAAAGAAGTATGTGTGTATGTGCCAGTGGCGGATCCAGCTTCGGCGTCAGGGGGGGTCATAATTGTAAAGTTTTTATAGTCCTCAATGAGTATGTAACAAATTTAATATATATATATATATATATATATATATACATATAAGATAGAGCGGGGCTTCGCGGGTAAAAAGGTCCACCACCGATATCTCAAGGAGGTTAAGGATTAAAGTAAAGTTAAGGATTTCTTAACAACAATATTAGAAAGTGGAAGGAAAAATGTACAACCAGCCATCACCCTGATTCTTACGACGTTAAAAGAAGCATTTTTACAAGAGATAAATTAAATAAATATTTATTTCAACTTTGCTGGTGGATATTTTGGACAAAATATCAAATTAAGGTTATATATAGAGTTATCTCTGTAAAAATGTATCTATAAAATTCATATTTTTCATTGGTTGAATAATGTAGCTAAACCCCTTTAAAATTAAGAATAGTAAATTGGATTGTTTGTCCTCTCGCCGTCCGATTTTACCCCGTCTATGGGGTAAAAAAGACCAAGTGACAAATTTTTAAAAAACAGAAAAAAACACATTTTTACAGTGATGAATTAGCTGGAAGTTGGACTAAAACATAGTCAGATGCTTTTTATTTGATGTGTCCTATTGGTTGTTATGTTTTTTGTTAAGTTTTCACAATATAATTGCTCAAAGTTAAATTGGACCCGCCTAACCTTATATATGTGTATTTTTTTAAAAATAATCTGCGTCTTTGACGTGAGTCAAATTTTGACCTTTCCTCGACGTTTTCTCGTCTGAACCGATGTTAAAATTTAAAAACTATAAAATGAAACTGGATAAGCGCTTGCGTTGATTAGTTTTTTGAGAAAATTGGTCGATCCGTTTCTTTACTATTGGCAGAAAAGTGCAAAAATTATCGTCCATGTTTTTGTCAAAAATTCTTAGCCGTTTTTGCTTAAACTATTCGATTGATATCATTTGGAAATAAATGGTTTCTGGCGAAGATCGGTCAAGTCGTTTCTTTTTCATAATAGGTTGTCATTTTTTTGCGATTTAAGTGAAACTTTACATGGCGATAGAGTTTCTGCTCTAAATGAACGTACTAAACTAGGCCTGCGACAAGTGGTTTACTTATGATAATTAAAGTTTTGGATTATTTTCCATCAATGTGTATTATGCAAACCATTTTTCAAAAATCACTACTATATTTGAAAAAAATTGCAATAGTTTCTCACTTCAAAATGGTTTACAGCGATGGACAAAACGTGGACAAAAAAATGCGGACATACAAAATACACACACACACATATCAATTTTTTCTGAGGTATGCCAAAGTATTCAGGTATCTTCAAAACGTCGAGAAATGCAAAAAAAATTCATTCAAATCTAAAATGATTTTTTGCATTTCTCGACGTTTTGAAGATATCTGAACTCTTTGGCATACCTCAGAAAAAATAGATGTGCGTGTGTGTGTGTTTTGTATGTCCGCATTTTTTGTCCACGTTTTAGGGCGCACATATCAACCGATTTGAATGGTTCAAAAAACAATCGATTCCTATTAATAGGGAGATGAGCTGATTAGTTTTTGCCAAACGCATGTCCAGCAGTTACGGAGATAAAGAGCAAAGAGTGCAGAAAATAGAAATAGAGTTTTTGAGAGAACGGAGCATCCGATTTGAATGACATAAAAAAACATCCAATTTGTAATGATTGGGAGAAGATATGATTAGTTTTTGGCAAAGGCAGGTCCATCCATTTCGAAGATACAGAGACAAATGTGCAAAAAATGGTAGTTTTTGAGAGAACTGAGCGACCGATTTGAATGATTCAAAGAACTTTCTGCTTGTTTTGACAAAATAATTGCTTTTGCAAAAAATTGTTTCAATTTTTTTTTCAAAATTTATTTTTTTTGTATATCGAAAATAATTCAGATTTTAATTTTAATTCTGACTTAAGTTTAAAACTTATATACTTTAAATAAATAGTTTTAACTTTGCAATTCAGTTTATATAATTTTTATAAATATTGGACATTGTTACAGTATTTTTAACAATCTATTTGAAAACATTTAATATTCCTCGAACATTTCGTTACGGTACGGGAAGTTTCAGCAATTTGTCTTAAGGCACGATGCCATACACCACTATTTTATATGTTGATTATGTCGTCTATTAATAGGATTACTGAAAGTTTATGCATAAGAGCCACTCACAATCAGTTTATTTTTTTGATTTTTGAATGAATTTTTTTTCCTAAACTGTAATAAAACATATATTCGCAATACGATTAGAAAATCCTTAAATTTTAGGGTTTTTGATTCCGCCATTCGTCTACAATCAGTTAAATATTTGAGTTGTAAAATATGTTTGGTAACAAAATACATAAATAAGATCATTATGAAGTAATTTTGTTGTTGAATTAGTGTTTTATCTAAGTCCTAAAACAGGCTCAGGGGGGGGTCATGACCCCCGTGACCCCCCCCCCCTGGATCCGCCACTGGTATGTGCATGTATACCAAAATTTGACCATTTATCAAAGTTTCATCAAACTCTTCTGTACCGATGTTGAAAATGCAAATAAGATACTTGTAGAAAATTATTGGCAAAAATCTTGAACAGATTTTGTAAATTCAAAAACTGTGATTTTGTTAAAGTTCGGTCGAGCCCTTTCTTTGTTAATAATTGTTGAATTTCTGACTTTTTTAACGTAGCATGAAAATTAAGTTTTTGGTCTAAAGTTTAGACTCCAAAGGAACATCCTAAAATATATATAGGCCTACAAAAAGTGGTTTAATTCAAAATAAGAACTAGTGGTGCGTATGGCATTATGCCGTAAAGCAAATTGCTGGAGTTTTCCGTATGATAATGAGGTATTTAACAATAAAATTTAATTTAAAAAAATATTTTTTGGAAAATCAAAAAAAAACACTTAAAAAAATATTTTTTTCTCCAAAAGCTCCAAATTGTTTCGTCAATACAAGCAGTAAGTTTGTTGAATCATTTAAGTCGGATACCTAGTTCTCTCAAAAACTGCTATTTTTGCATATTTAGCTCTGTAACTCCAAAACGACTTGACCTGCTTTTGCAAAAATCTAATCACCACTTCTTCCCATCATTACGAATTGAATATTTTTTGGATCATTCAAATCGGATGCTCCGTTTCTTTAAAAATTTTGATTTCGATTTTCTGCACCTTTTGTTCCGTATATCCAAAACGGCTAGACCTGTCTTTGCAAAAAACTAATCAGCACATCTCCCTATCAATAGAAATTGAATGTTTTTTGGATCATTTAAATCGGTTGATCCGTGCGCCCGAAACGTGGACGAAAAATTGCGGACATACAAAATACACTATTACACCCATTTTTTCTAAGGTATGCCAAAATGTTCAGAAACCTTCAAAACGTGAAGATATGCAAAAATTTTCATTTTCGATAAATAAAGTTAAAAAAGTGGATATAAAAAAAAATTAACGTAGTAAGAAATCTTAATATTGTAAAATTTTGGATATATTGTATAGCTAATAAAATATTTAACAACATTCTTGATTCACCTAATAGTTGTATTATTTATTAAACTAATTGGTTATATAAAAAATAATTTGTATATAAAATATTACATAATATATATAGTCAGTGTAAAATGTAATAAATATATAATCAGTATAATAAATAATATTTATAAAAAAATATACTACAAAAATAATAAATTGTATAAATAAAAGGTATAAGAAATTGGGTAAACTTTCGACCAGCCGTCACACGAACGCCATTTGTAAATACAATATAACCTGCTTGCACAGGTCAAAGTTCATTTTATGTTTATAGCTAAAAATAACCTTTGTTTAAGAGTTTAGACTTTAGTCTGCTCTGAGAACACCAGTTTTTTTATTGTTAATCATTTAATTAATTGTTATACAGTGTTATATTGATTTATTTATCATTATGTCTGCAGGGATACTTTCTAAAGCCAGGCAATTAGTCTCAGTTTCTAGTGCCAAAAGTTAGTATACTTTCTCTTAAATATGTATATATATACATGTTTATTTATAATTTATTTACATTCATTAGTTTTGTTGTAGTGCAAATAATAGTACAAGTATAATAATGTACACATCATCATTAGTGCATATAATATTGCTAATCAATAACATCAAATATAATATTATTAAAAAATAACATCAAAGAAAAAATGTTTGAAGAATATTTATTTACCCATACAAAACATATAATTTTACATCATCATCTATTGATATGAACAGCAACATACAAAACATTAATAATAAAAATAATGTATACATATGTTATGTACACGCTCTGACTTTGCCTCGGATTTGTCAACAATGAGACTTTCTTAAACAAATTACATAATTTTATTACAGATTTAGTGCCATCAGTGTTTATCAGTTCTAGTAAAATGTCCACATTTGAAACTTTAGCAGTTACGACTCCAAAACCTTTTGTTTATCATGTTGAACTCAACAGAGCAGATCGATTGAATGCATTCAATCGCACCATGTGGTCGTAAGTATGATAATAAAAACATTAATATCATATTTGAAATGATATCTTGAATAGTTTAAATTTATTTTAGAGAAATTAATAAATGCTTTGATGAACTAGACTTGAACCCCGATTGCAGAGTTGTTATTTTATCCGGAGCTGGAAAACATTTTACTGCAGGTACTATAATATTTCTTAAACATTATATATATATATATATATATATATATATATATATATATGAATGGAGCTCGGTGTTATGTTAGCCAAGCTAAAACACTAAAACGGCTGTCGATTTGGCAGTCTTGAAATATTTGTACTTATCCAGAGGTTGTGGGAAAGGTGAGAAATTATTTCAAAATATAATATAAATTCGGGACACTATTTTACATTTCTGCAAATAACTCCAAGAATTTAGTTTAGTGCACTCTTTTTTTGTTAGCTTAACAGAAACAAGATTAAATTTACTAAAATTGAATATAAGCAGGACACTCTTTTATTTATTAGCTTAGCAGAAACTAGATAAATTTGACTAAAATTCCATATAAACAATCTTATACACTTTGATACAAAAATTTGGAATAGTTTGAAACACGCCCTAATGAATTTTGCATAATTACAATATAGGGTTTGACTTTTTTACATTTATACAAATAACTCAAGAATTTGGTTCAGTGCACTCTTTTTTTGTTAGCTTAGCAGAAACTAGATAAAATTTACTAAAATTTTCTATAAACAGTCTCATACACTTTGATACAAAAATTTTAAATAATTTGAACACGCCCTAATGAATTTTGCATATTTACAATATATGGGTTCGAGACACTTTTTTACATTTATACAAATAACTCAAGAAACAGTTTTATACACTTTGATAAAAAAATTTGGAACAGTTTGAACTCATCCTATTTTGCATATTTACAATGTATGGGTTTGAGACACTTTTTTACATTTTTGCTTTTTTCAGTTAGCTTAGCAGGAACTAGATAAAATGTACTAAGACTCCATATGAACAGTTTAGGATAGTCTTACACGATTTTTTTTTATTGGATCATGACTTGGATTGGATTATAACATGTTTTCTATAGAAAGTGGATAAAACTTCCAGTTCGAACAAAATATGGACAAATGAATATTGTTAATATAAATTATATAATATTGAACAAGTAGAGTTTGTGGTTTCATTGTTATTATATTACCTTATTGTCTATAGCATTCAAACAACACATTCTTACACACTTGGAATAAAGTATTAATTTTTTTGATTCTCTAGAAACTTTTTAGAGAAATACCTTACTTAGTAAAACAATGTTTGCCGGGTCAGCTAGTATACATATGCACACATATATATATATATATATATATATATATATATATATATATTTATTTATTTATTAAGTACTTAAAAGTATAAATAGATCTTTTATCTTTTATTTTTTATTTTTCTAGGAATTGATCTCCAAGACATGATGAAGCTCGGAGGAGAGCTTGCAGAATTTGAAGATGTTGCCAGAAAAGCTAAATTTATGTTGAATATGATAAAAAATTGTCAGAACTCAATTTCATCCTTAGAAAACTGTTCGAAACCTGTCCTGGCTGCAGTTCATTCGGCCTGTGTTGGTGCTGGTGTCGATTTAATTACTGCTGCTGATTTGAGGTAAAGTAGAAATTAAGCATTTTATATATAGGAGTAAGTTGAATTTTGCCTTAGGGCAAGTTCCATAAACTTTTTGATATATGCAAACATTATAATACAAAGCTATCTATGAACTCTCAATACTCTAATTTTCTTATATAGTTTCTTTAATTTATAATTATATTTGTACCCTTTAAAATGTAGTTATATTGAATTATTGCCTTGGGCGTTGAATAAGTAAATAAATAAATAAATAATAAATATATAATACAAATAAAGTATGATTTGATTTGATATATTGTACAAGAATTGAATTTTATCAAAAATGATTTAAAAAAAGTGTTTTATTAACTAATTAAAATAAAAATAAAGTGTTTTCTTAGTGCACTAATAATGAGAATTAATCATTGAGATTTCTAATTAATATCTTTCAATAGATTTGTAATATTATTAATTATATTCATATCTTTCATAAATGTTGAATAAAAAATAAAACTAGTGGTGTATGGCATCGTGTCTGAAGGCAAATTGCTGGAACTTCCCGTATGGTAACAAAATGTTCGAGGAATATTAAATGTTTTCAAATAGATTATTATAAATACTGTAACATTGGTCTAATATTTATTTATAAGAATTATATAAAGTGAATTACAAAGTTAAAACTATTTATCTAAAGTATATAAGTGAGCATTAGAACTTTAGCCAGAATTAAAATTAAAATCTGAATTATTTTCAATCTACAAATTTTTTTTTTTTTTTTTTAAATTGAAATTAATTTTATTTAAGTGAATAAAAGGAACCTTTATGTGTATTTTCTAACTAAGTGAGCCGTTAATTATTTCAAACTTTAATGAATGTTTATAATTAAACCACTTTTTAAGACTATATCATATTTTAGTAAATTTATTTAAAACATGAACTTTATATCAGGCAAAGTTTTATTAAAATAATTTAAATTTGCTTTATTCAACAATTAATAATATTGGGTATTTACAATTTTAGCTTTTATAAACTGTTCATAAGTATATCAACATAAAAACTATACTTTTCAATATCGCTTAGTTTTTATCAATAAGGAATTGAATGATAAATCACAAGTTAATATCATAAATCATATTTTTTTTATAAAATTGATATAAAAATATATATTATGTGTATAAAAAAGGTACTGCACACAAGATGCTTGGTTCCAAGTTAAAGAAGTCGAGATAGGAATGGCTGCAGATGTTGGTACTTTACAAAGGTTACCTAAGGTATTTCTAATTATTTATTATTATAACAAGTTGTCATAATCATTCTTAAATACTATTTATTTATTTTAGGTCATTGGTAATAATAATCTGGTTCGTGAACTGTGTTTTACAGGTAGAAAGTTCCAAAGTAAGGAAGCTTTTGAATGTGGACTTATTGGAAAAGTTCTTGAAAATAAAGAGAGGTATGTTAAGTGATTTTATAATGTCTAGTAAAATCCGGTTAAGTCTATTTTTCGAGAAACATATTAATGCAGTGGTTTCCAACCGTGCTCCCCTGCTCTAATAAAAAAAAATGTGCTCCCTTAATTTTTTTTATTAACAATTTAATTTTATAAATACTCAACCGAAATTATCAGATGCATAAAAACTAATTACTTTTTGTTTATTTTTTAATACGATTTGCAAAATTTTGGCTTACTTTTGAAAATACAGGTAACCCCCGCATAATGCGGTACTTGTATAACAGGGACCCGCTCTAACAAATTATATTTTTATATTTTGTAAATGATTTCGTTTGCTATATTTTATGTAGTATCATATGTGATATGTGTATCATTTTACCCTTATTCTTTATATTTATAGTTGTATTTGTCATAATATTTATTACATTATTTTATTTCAGCCTTTTATCACATTGTTTAAATCTCGCTGAAGAAATTGCATCTAAAAGTCCAGTGGCAGTACAAATGACAAAGAAAAGTATTATTTATTCCATGGATCATACTAATCAAGAAGGATTAGATCATATTGTAAGTAAAAATTTAAAAATATAAATATAAATACAAATGTATATATATATATATATATATATATATATATATGAATGTAATAAATTTATTTTATTCCAGGCTGCTTACAATCAAACATTGTTACAAAGCGAAGATTTTATAAACGCTTGCATGGCTCAGGCGATGAAGGGTGAAAAGCCAGTATTTTCTAAGTTGTAGAATGGAGAGGAAAAGTTAGGTCAGACTGAAATTTTTATATTATTGATAAATGTTATTATGATATATTTTTATTACTAATAAATGAATTAGATAAAAGTAATTTGGGCATAAATAATCAATTCTTACAGCCTTAAGGGATTTTGGTGCTAATTAAGTATTTTAAGTTGATTTTTTTCGTGACCCACATAAATACCATGTATTTCCCATGAAAAAACGAATCTTGGTCGCCCATAAAATGCTTCCATTACGCCCTCATTATAAAATTATGTATAATTTGTTTAAATATAAAGTTAGACGTGTAAATCAGATGGAAAACATGTTTCTTAATGTAATAAACCATCAAAAACAGTTTTCTCATGAATTTTCCATAATTTGTAAAACAAATATTGTCTGGTTCATCTAAAAACAAGATTTGAATATTATGCCACGATTTTTTACCCTACGGTTCATTTCTACTGGGGATCATTATCTATCAGTCCGATTCTATTTATTGTAACAGGATATGAAGCCTTTTGGAAAGCAATAAATATTCAGTTTATGGACGTGTTGAGATAATATTTTGACATATATTCATCTAAAGATATATCTGTTTATGAGATTAAGGAATTTAGAAATAAATTTGTTCCGAGAAATTTAAACTTGGATGTAATATGTATCAACTAGCGCTTATGTAAAAATACCGGTATTTTTAAGGTAAATACCGGTATTAATACTGCCAAAAATTTGGGCGGTATACTGGTATTGCATTCCTTTGATGTGATCAATTACGAATTTTATTATATTAATCCCTTATTTAATGAAATTTCAATTAAAAACTAAAATGTTTATTCCACATATATACATAAGAAACATTGGCATCTCCTCAGTTAAAAATTAGTTAAAATGCTACTTAAAAATTAGTGTGATGACTCGGTAAAATATCACAAAAAAAACCTCATGCAACTTTGGCATAACATATGGCTGATAATACAAATGAACACTCAAGGCATAAAATACTAGATCAATTAAAATTAAAATTAAAATCTATGACTGGCTTTTCAGACTAGCTAAAGTCAATATGATAAATGTTGATAAAATGAATAAACTAGCTGGTATTGAAGCCTTCATTTTTTGCTTACGATCTGGAACAATAAATCATGATTAAAAGACATTTGACACAACATGATAGAATAACATTACAATCGATTGATAACGTTGCAACACTTCACAAAGCTATCAATCTGTGAATGATCAATGATTTTTATGAAATGAATGTTTATGGATTGTTAGAAATGAACATTGATATACTGGTCCCAATTAATTTTATTCGAAAAATAGATATATAAATTTATTAACAGTATATAAAATATATGGAATGTATAATATTATCAATCGATTGTACTGAATTTGGCACTCATTGTATAAAGAAACACGAACCCCATTTTATTTTCTTTTTTTCTTCTGGTTCCCAACCTAAACTTCTCTGCACAGCCATTTTCCACCGGGAATATCTCATATCGCGATCTGAAAAAATTCAATAAACTAGTAATAATAACTATGATTACTAAATAATTTACTAGTAATATATAAATTCCGTACATTATATGAAACTAACACTTGTTAAAGAGTATTTGATAATAAAATTAAAAATATTGGAGCAATTCTCCTGTAACAGAGCTCATAAAATAGCGTTGTCATGACAACGCTCTCTTATGCTTGTTCTTGGTATTGAAAATTATGAAAAGTCTATATTGTGTTTTAAAGTATTAACGTGGTCCGCAAGCATAGTTTTAAATTGTCCGGGATTTTTTTAATTGTTTTAATGTTGTTGTAAACGTTTAATAATTTAAGAAGTTCTGGCTTCTTTCTACTATGTAAATTAAATTACAATCTAGACCAGTGATTCCCAACCTTTTTTGGGCCCCGCCCCACCGTTTATAAAAACGTTATGCCCCCCCATACAATCTTTTTTCTCCCAGAAAAAATGTGAATAACTTTTAAGATGAAATCGCTATTAAATTGTTATTAAACATCATAAGTAAAATTTCGGAATAAGCCAACATACGGAAATTTCAAACTAATTTTATTACTGTTTTTTTCGAAATTTATTTAATGCAATACTTAAGCTAAAACAAAGATTTTATATTAGGTTCTAATCTGAGCTTTTTCTTTTTTTCAATAAATTATAGCAAATTTTTGTACATATGATTACAATTGGACATTTGGTTTCAGTTTCTTCATAAAGCCATTTCTTAACTAATCTACTTGACACTTTCTTAACTCAGAACGGAATTATATCTTAATTTTATATATTTTTTGTTAAATCTTTTTAATTATCAGATTGGCAACTAAGTAAGTGCGCATATTTTTCTAGAAATTGATAGTTATCGTTGGCAACTAAGTAAGTGCGCGTTTTAGTTAGAAAATTAAAAAGACAATTTTTGCATGGAATTAAATAACTTTGTTATGTATACCATTTTGATCGATGGCCTTTTGTTATTTTTCAAGAAGCATCATTATCCCAAGTTTATAAAACTTCTAGTTTTTATTAGCAAAAACTGAATTAGACACAATTTGACACCATCATGATTTTTTTTTTAAATTCAAGTATATATTTTACATATATACAAGCAAGGGAGAATGTTATATAACAGAATTCTAGATGGTGCAGTTATCTTAAGATTATTCCTTGCTTGTTTATATGCAAAATACGCCCGATCGCACGGCAAATAAATAGACATTTTCATAATCTTCAATACCAAGAACCAGCATAAGAGAGCGTTGCCATGACAACGCTAATTTATGAGGTCTGTCACGGCAGAATTGCCCCATATGCATTGATTAATTGTTGTCTATTCCTCAAACTTACGATCATCAGTGATATTTGGATAAAATATATCATGAGGAACAGCATTGCTCTGCATCTCCCAAACATTGATGCCAGCTGCCATTCCTGCAGCCATCGCACAACCCAAAGCTGTTGTTTCGCACATCAATGGTCTAACTGCACAAATCAGAAAACAAAAAATTAATATATTAATTCCCCGTAGGGCAAGTTATAGTAAACGTAATAAAATGGAAAATGAAAATTTTTGAATATTTTTACGTTTTAAAGGTTTCTGAATATTTTGGCATGCCTTAGAAAAAATGTATGTATGTGTGTGGGTGTGTGTATTTGCGTGTGTGTACGCGGGTACAATTTTTCGTCCACTATTTTAGGCATATGGATCAACCGATTTGAATAATTTAAAAAAACATTCGATTTGTATTGATAAGGAGACGTGCTGATTAGTTTTTGGCAAAGGCAGGTCCAGTCGTTTCGAAGATACGGGGCAAAAACTGCCAAAAACGGTAATTCAATTTTTGAGAGAACGGAGAACCCGATTTGATTTATTCAAAAAACATTTTACTTGGAAAAGGAAAAAAAAATGATATTTAGCGGTGAAAAATGATCATTAGATAGGTATATGCTCATTAAATTATCAGATATTTGATGAAATTTTTAAAAATGAGATTTTACTAATTTTGTTGGGTTCGGTAACAAGATTGTTAAATTGTTAAAATAAATTTACTTATACGGTTCAAGCAGATTTCAAAATTTTCAGAATTTTTTTCAAAATTTTATAAAATACACAAAACTCCAAATATGAATTTTAAATTTACAATTCAGTTTGAAAATGTATATATTTCAAATGCGTTATTCTAATCGTAGGAAATATATCCTCAAATAGATTAATTTGGCACCTCTTGCTAATGCAAACTTTCTCAAGTGTTTTGAGCAATAAGATCATCACTGTATATTTTATGAACAATAAAATATAAAGTAAGTACGATTATCTATTTAAAAATATTTAAAAGAATTGTTAATAATCATTGATCAATATTTATTGATTACTGTTTTTTTCCTTGAATATTTAATTCTGGTATGAAAAGTTCCAACAATTTGCCTTAAAGGCACGATGCCATGCACCACTAGTTTTATGTTCCTTACCAACTGGTTTTCCACAAAGATCGGCTTGCGTCTGCATAAGTAGATCATTATTAGTCATGCCCCCATCGACCAAAAGTTTGCTCAAAGGAAGCGAGCAATCCAAACTCATTGCATGCAAAATATCATGAATTTGGAAACAGACAGATTCCAAGGCAGCTCTGATTATATGACCAGGTTTAGTGTTTTCAGTCAAACCACAAATGACACTGAAATAATAAAACTTCAGTTTATGTAAGAGGAGATTTTAAAAAAAGAGTGCGCGTAAGGTTCACACGCGATTGAAGTAAAACTTATTTGCTACTGTACAAGATGGCATTTAATTAAAAATAAATACATCATATAACAATTTCGAATAATGTATATTAGTAATATGGTAACACTCGTGTTGCACATATTTATTAGTGTCAACCATTATACACATTTATATAAATGATAAACTATAAATTGTATATTTGTAATAACATTAAAAATATGTATTATATTTGAAAACAATAGTGTAATTAAAGTCATACTTCAAATATGACATGATCGGTTTGTCATTGTAATTAGCAATTAGGACTTGGACCTTCATTAGAGAAATGAAGTAATTGCTGATTAATTAATTCTATAATATTTGTTCACACAGTGAATAATGTTAAACGATGCCTAAACAAATATTGTTTTCGCAACTTCACTCATCATGTAATAATTGTGTTTAAAGAACTTCATGTAATTAAAATTAACATACATTCATTGACTGATGGTATTTTTTTTTACTTTTTCGCTGGCGATATAATCTCATTCTTTGAACAGTTGTAATATCTGTTTTGTCGAAAAAATATTTTCCATTTCAATAACTTCAAAGATTTATAGAAACTACGAATAATATAGAAATTATTTCTAATCAATAAACTTTAATTTAATTTGTTTAATTTGTCTTATTATTTTCAAGGAACAGGGTAAAATATTCTTCTGATTCAGGCATTTTTCATTATATCAATATTTGCACTACGATGCAATCTTAAAATGCTTATTATTTATCTATGCCGATTTCCTTGTTAATATCGGTACGCATACAACGTTGATGCCGGTACATATACAACGACAGATCTATATTCACCTAGGCGACGACTAATCACAATCGACCCGTATAGAAATATATCATCGAGAGCGAATGACGAATCATTGGCACTCAACTCTTATCTTATCTTATCTGCCGTAACGCACTTCCGTTGCATTTGTACGGATTCACACCCTAGTCGCGCCTAAAAAAGTTTTTCTTCAATAAATATTGAAATGATTAGTTGTCTCATACCTTCTTGCATCCTTCCTCCAGTAAGGTGCATACAGGCCAGAAAAAGCAGGAACAAAATAAACATCACCACAATTATCAACACTGTTGGCAAGTTCTTCAGATTCTTTGGCATCTGATATCACCTCTAAGTTGTCTCTCAGCCATTGTATTGCAGCTCCTAAATTAACAAGTAACAATATTAAATATTGAAGAACAAATCTCTAAAATAGTTCTATTACAACCTGCTACAGCTACAGATCCTTCCAAGGCATATGTGGTAGGAGCGTTTGGTCCTAATTTGTAACCAACTGTACTTAAAAGGCCGTGGGTGGACTGGATTATTGCTGAACCTGTGATAAATTCAATTATAGGTAAATGTAAGTAACTAATGTATATCGATATATATATATATATATATATATATATATATATATATATATTAGGGTGGTCCTTAAAAAGGTCATTTTCGAATTTCCTTGCTCCCAGGGGCTCAAATGGTTCCAAATAGATAAAAAATAATTCTCTGAAAGTTTTAGCTCTTAATATTAACGTTTAGATAGAGCGCAATTCAATCAAAGTTTGTATGGAAAGAGCATGGAAACAATTTTGAAAATTAAAAAAAAATGTTTTAGGTGTAACTTAGCGATAAATGAATGAGTTTTATTCATTCAATTGTTCACTAAATTACATCTAAAAAACATTTTTAAAATTTTTGAAAATTTTTTCATGCTATTTCCATACAAAACTTTGATTGAATTGCGCTCTATCTAAACGTTAATATTAAGAGCTAAAACTTTCAGAGAATTATTTTTTATCTATTTGGAACCATTTGAGCCCCTGGGAGCAAGGAAATTCGAAAATGACCTTTTTAAGGACCACCCTAATATATATATATATATATATATATATATATATATATATATTAATTCTTCTGTAATGATATGTAAATATACTCCTCCTAAACGATTATTCGGATTTTGATAAATCTTTCTGAAGTTTGTTAAGGGAATTTTTCAGGATATATGTGATTATAAAAATAAAGTAATATTGTAGAAATAAATGGAAATAATTGCAAAAAACGACATTGAAAATATTTGAGACATTGTTTGGCATTGAACAAATGAAAACTGTCGTCTACCAAAAATTTCAATTTACTTATGAGCCTAGACAACATTAGAATATGTTTAATAAATTCATGATTATGAATGAATAAAATGAAATGTCTTCATTATTATTTAGAAAGAGCAGCTGAGATGTGCTGAGGGGGCGTCTAGACAAGATTCAGATATGAAATTTTGAATATAGTTTTTTTTCAATATAATTCAAGAAATATATAATTTCTTTGCATGTTTTACTAATTTTAATACAATATTTTTAAAATACGTTAAATATTTCACTTTAAAACGATAAATGGGAAAGTAAAGATGAATACATACATTTTTGGATATCTTACAATACAACAATAAAAAATTAAATTAAAATAATCCAACATCAGTGTTGAGTTATGGTTATGTTTAATAATGAAAGGCTAATTTTTTTTTGCTCTCTATAATTTGCTCAATAGAATAAATCGTATAAAATGATCAAAATAAATAAGTAAAATGTTTCAAAAGTCGAATATTAATTAATGATAATAATTTTAATAAACTGTTAAAACAGGTAAAATAATAGGGGAGGGAGGCGCGTAAGAGCCCATGAGTGTCCCTGGTAATAATTTATATTAAATTATTACCAAGAAAAATATAATTTAGATATTATAATTACTAAAAACTAGTTAAAATATGATACGAGATTATAAAAATTATAGGAAATATTAGTAGAATTATTTTGAGTGAAAAAATCCAAGGTAATATTGTATTTGTACAACCGGATACTATATATTAATTTGCTCTGAGTTCTTAATATCGTTTAAAAGACTTCAATTTCCAATATAGTGTGGGAATTGAGACTTATCATTTCATTTGAAGCAATTCTACATTTAACATTTCTCATATTGATGTATATGCATTTTGGTATAAAGAGTAATTTAAAAAACAATAATAATTATTTTTAGGTAAACGATAAATATTAGTATTGAATATTAAAATATTGTAGACGTGGTCACAGGACAACGTCTGTCGGGTCATCTAGTATATATATATATATATATATATATATATCAAATATTTTATATTACCTGTATTATATAATAAAAAGCATCCCGTGCCATATGTGCATTTAGCCTGTCCTTGCTGTGTACAATTTTGACCCAAAAGAGCCGACTGTTGGTCACCTAAACACTAAATTAAAGCCTTTGATAGAAAAAAATGTTATAAAAAATTGGTGCACCATAAATATGATAGAAAGAAAGATCATTTAAAAGAAGTGTAATAAAAAAACAATCATGACAAGAATTGGAAAATCGGTTGAAATCCGTGTTCGCAAAATCGTCGACGGAAATTTGTTTCCGCACACACACACACATTTTTTCTAAGGTATGCCAAAATATTCATAAATTATTGAAACGTAAAAATATATAAAAAATTTCACTTTTGATTTTTATGTGATTACTATAACTTACTCTACGGGAAGTTAATCATTTCAAAATATAAGCAAGCCCAAATAGTATTATGAAAATATTTTAAATATACTTACTCCAGATATGGGTAGATTTCTCAAAGCTCCTTCAGCCAAGTAGCCATATATTTCGGAACTGCTCTTGATTTCAGGAAGTATGCTCATCGGTATATCAAAAAATTTGCAAAGAGCAGGATCCCATTCCAAAGTGCTTAAATTCATAAGCATTGTACGAGATGCATTTGAAACATCTGTCATATGTATACCACCGTTTACACCACCAGTTAAATTCTAAAAATATCAAAAGAAAATTTTAGAAACTAGTTGGTATTGGTATTTTGCCTTGACGCAAGTTACATAAACTTCTCGATATGTGTAAATAATCGACTTATTCGATAAAAAATAAATTAATTTATGAGTGATTAAAAGTATTTCAAGTGGATTGTAATAATTTACACATAATTGAAAACAAACCAACACGTTAACTTGGAGTATTTTCTAAAAACAAATGTTTATAAATCAATAATTTTTATAATTGAACCAGTTTCCGTAGGACTTTAATGGTTTAGTATGATCATTAAGACCAAGTACTCTATCGTTATACCAAGTAAATCGTCTAATTTTAATTTTAACAAACGTCAAAACAACTACTTATTTTCTCAAACTTTGATAAATTTTTAAAATTAAACTACTTGTAAGGCCGTAATATTTCAGTAAGTTCTACAAACCATGATATATATATCGCAAAAAAAAGTTCCATAAAAATCGGCTTACATTTTTTTTTCACAGTTAATTACGAGAAAGCGGCTCGGTAGATTTTCACCTAAAACTGATCAGTATCGTTCCCAACTAATATCGTTCGAACAGTTTTTGATTTTTTTAAATCGATTCGGTAGTATGAGCATAAATGAGGACGAAAAGTTTAACACTTTTTACCAAATTTCAAAGAAACGGCTCGGCAGATTGTCGCACAAAAGTGAAAAACGATAATCCTCATCAATGGTTTTTAAATTTCTAAAATCGGTTCAGGCGTTTTTGGAAAAACGTAGATTTACGGCAAAAAATCACACACTTTTTCCAAATTAAGTCTCATTCGATTCAGAATGGCTTGAAACGCCGAGAAAATATAAAATTAGCGAATCGGATTTTTTGATGAAAATATAAACTTCTCTTTCGGGAAGTTAATAAATGCATTGCATGTTATAATATAGTCTATTATTTTTACCCATATTAGCCAGCTATCAACAGTGCCAAATAAACAACGACCAGCATCAATTGCAGTTTTCACTTCTGGCACATTATCTATGAGCCAACGCAATTTGACTGCACTGAAATATGTACTTATTGGCAGTCCACAAATGTGTTTCAAATGATCCTTGCTCTTGTTACGTATCTTTTGCAGGAGGAGGTCAACTGTCTCGGTGGTTCTGATATCCAACCAAACTGTAAAGAAAAATATTTTATAAAACTTACTAGTGGGGTGCATGGCATCGTGCTTTAAGGCAAATTGCTGAAACTTCCCGTATCGTAATTGAAAATCTTGGTACGAAACAAATTACACAAAGTGTGTACACATTATTAAAATCTCTATAAAATATCTGATAATTTGATGTACATTTGTCCAATAAACATTTTCGACCGCCAAATGGCATTTTTTTAACTTATTTTCATTGAGTCCATAACCGCCGGACCTGCCTTCCCAAAAAATTAATCAGTTCTTCATCTTGTCAATACAAGTAAAATGTTTTTTGAATTATTAAAAGAAGTTCATAACATTTTATTGTTTCTTACCTATGGCATTGTACAATGGTTGCCCAGTGAATTTATCCCACACAATTGTGGTTTCTCTTTGATTTGTTAAACCAGTGGTTATGATATCGGTGGGGTCAATGTCCAGTTTTTTCAAATTTTCAACACTCTCCTAAAATAAAAATATTAAAGTGAAAAGTAGTGTATCAAAATTGTGCAATCTTGAAGTAACACTGATAGTCCAGTCATTACAGTAAGTTCACCTCGGAGTTTGAGATACCCAGCTGTAAGTCTAGTAAATACATGTATATTGACATTTAAAAGTTGTCTCAAAACCTACATATGGTACAGTGTACGTACCAATTAAATAATTTCAAAGCAAGCTAAATGTTTTTAAATTGTTATTAACATTCGTAATGTAATTACTAATTTCATTATGACAAACTTTTTCATCAATTCAACTAAAATAAAAACTTAAATTCAATTATAAAAATAAGTAATAAGATTCGAATAACTTAGTTATTATTTATAAGTAAATAGTTAAGGTTATATCATTATCATTAAAATATCGTTAATATTAAAACGAATGGAAAAGCAACTATTGAGTTGTTTTTCCAACATGTCAATATAGTATACAAGGTCCCTTTACGGCTGATAATTGTAAATTCCCCAAATTTACTAAATGTCCTGAACAGTTGTCAATAAAATAGAGAATAAAAAAAATAAGTACAACTAAAATTATGTGATAGAAATATCTTCTTGTTTCATCAATATTTATTAGTTTTACTAAAAGTAGAGGATGAAACTATTATTTGTGCAGACTAAAAATGAAGCTTATGAATGTTTAAATTCATAAGTTAATTATTGATTTTACTAGCATTTTTTTATGAACTCCTTGCATGTTATCTAATTATATAACTACTAATGTTCGTGGTAGAATTTTTTGTTTGTTTTGTTATGAACAGTTTAGTTTAGTTTTTACTAAAAGTGCAGGAAAAAACTATTATTGTTGCACAAGATAAATTTTTTTCATTGGTTTATTAATTACTAAATAGATTAAAAATTATTTTCTCATTGGTCTTGGATATTATTCAATTATAAATAAAAATGTTCGAATATAATAACTGCATTTTATATATAATAAAAAGGTTCTAATTTTAATAGTTTATACTGTGATATATAAATATAACTTCTCTCGTGTTTTCTAATTATATAACTATAAATGTTTGTGATATTATTGTTGCACAAGATAAAATTTTTACATTGGAAAATAGATTAAAAATGATTTCCTCATTGATCTTGGATATTATTCAATTATAAATGAAAATGTTTGAATATAATAACCTTCAATTATAATAAAAAAGGTTCTAATTTAATAGTTTATACTGTGTGCACAAAATGGTAGGTCCAAAGGTCACGATAAAGTATTTTTTAGCAAACCTAGTAGATTAAAAATTATTTTCTCTTTGATCTTGGATATAATTCAATTATAAATAAAACTGTTGAATTTAATAACCTCAAATTATAACAAAAAAGTTCTTATTTAATACTTTATACTGTGTGTACAAAATGGTAGACTTTATCATGTCCAAAGGTCACGATAAAGTATTTTAGCAAAACTAGTAATTTTAAAGTAAATTTTCTCCATTATTTTTACCTCAATACATTGCAAAACAGAATGCAAAATTTCTTTAGGATCTTGCTCGACCCATCCTTCCTTAGGATAAATTTGTTTTATAGGAATCTGGTGATATGTTAGAACTTCAGCATTTTTTGCAGCAAACACCTACAAAATAGTAATAAACAATATAAAAAATTGTTAATATTTTATATATTTATTTGTACATACCAAAAATCTGGCACTTGATGTGCCCTCATCAATAGCACCTATCAATGGTCCAAATTTTCCATAACCCATAATTATAAAATGTAATATTAAACGTTATAAACAATTCATCAAATATAATAATAATAATAATAATAATAATAATAGTGTGTGGTTAGAATTTTAGTTTAATATTGATTTATTTTTAAACCATGATTTTATCAACTTTAAATTTGTAAATATTTGTTAAAAAAATAAAATTTGTACAAAAACGTGTTTATGTCAAATACATGTGATTTGACAGTTCGTAATTAAAATCAAATATGGCGGACAGGTTAGTAGGGGCGCCAGTAATCCCATAATAAATATAGTAATAAGTGCTCGAATATATGTTAAAATACAGCAATTTGTAGTATATGATTTAACGAACTAAATATAGTGCAAATTTTAATAAATTGTGCTATAAGAATTCGTCAAATGTTATTTTACATTTATGCAAACATTTTTAAGAAAACGACATCAAAACTATGTCTACTTCATCCTTATCAGCTCTCCCACTACCATGTTTGCCAACACATTTGTGACAGCTGACATTTACGAATCATCATATTAAAAATACAATTCGATTAACACAATTTAATTAAAATATACAAATAATTTTAACTCTAAATGTAATTAATGATTGTAAATAATATAGTTATAGTGTTTTTACAAAATGTCGTGGTTAAATAGTAGTCTTAGTAATATCAAAGGACAAATAACCAATTTTGCAAATGAAGTCCTTGCAGAAGGTGCTGAGGATGAACAAAAAACTAATCAGGAATTAGATAAAGCTAAAGAGAAACTTATTGAATTGGAAAATATTATAAGTCGACAAAATTTTGAGGTAAGTAATAGTTTATAAGTTTTGAAAAAGTGAGGTTAGGATTTTTGTGTGTTGCACAAATTTATTCAACTTTTGGTTAAAGATGACATGATATGACCTACTAAAATTTTACTTTACATGTCTACATCACATATTTCAATTTGTATTTATTATACATAGAATATTATTTTATTTTCATACTTAAATTTTAGTGAATTGTATGTGCATTAGTTTTTGCTAAATGTTGCAGCATTTCAAATTTTAAAATGTGTAAAAAGCCAGAGTATACCTTCTATCTATATTTTTCAAACAGCCTTACTTTTTGTTTTTATAGAAAATATTAGTCTAGTTTTGTTTTCGACTTCTGATTTGCATTTTGCAAAATGTTCTTCCATTAGGGCATTTACAATTTTTAAAACGTTAACAAATTTTTGAAAGATAGCAAAAAAACACATTTCTACAATGATGAAGTAGCTGGCAGTTTTACTGAACGTAGTCAGACAATTGTTCATTTGAAATGTGTTATTTGTTGTGATACAATTGGTTTAATTATTATAATATAATTAATATTTGCTCAAAGTCAAATAGGTTCTACGTGCCTCGCCCTGCTCTACATATATACTTTTTATTAAATTTACTTTAATTCATCAATGTTACTTGAAACTTTTCAAAAAGCAGGTTAAAGAAGAAACACTTAATTCATTTTCTATCTCTCCTCGCAGAAATTTATATTATATCTGTATACAAAGTCAGATAATGTACAAGAAATTTCCTCAAAATATCAGAAATTTTATAGCCCATGTTATAAGTATCATAGTACATATTTTTAAATACTACAAAAATCTTCATCACCTTAAATTTATTACATAATTTTGTTTTATTATGTATTCAGGTGTTTTATCATATTTGTCTTTGGTATATTATCATTAACGATTTATCTCAATGTGCATTTTTAGAGATCCAAGTTATTTTATTCTGTTTAGGACAAGATGTTTTTAACTTTCCGAAGAAGAAGTTTATGTTTTTGCCAGAAAATCCGATTTGCTAATATTGTGATAATGATTCTGAATCGTGTGACACAAATATTGGAAGAAGTATGTGAGCCTAAATTTGAATAATTGTAAAACAGTAGCACTGATTTCAAAAATTGATAATCCATTCCTAGGAAACTCTAGGAGGACTCGAGTTGTTTAGTTTTTAGTTACAATCGGTCCAGGTGTTTTTTTATAATTAGCAGATAAGTGCTAAATTTTTCATCAATGTTTTCACTCAAAATCCTGAACCAATTTTGAAAATTCTACGATTTTTTGAAAGATATCATATGAGAGTAATAGGTAAATATCAGCTGAGATGTTTTTTTATAATTAATTGCTTAAATGTATGTATGTATGTATTGAAGATTTTAATGAAGCTTTATACTGTGATAGAGTTTAGGGTGTAAACTATTTTTCTGAAATATTATAGGCCTACGAAAAGTGGTTTAATTATAAATATTTGTTAAAGTTTTGAATACTCGATTACACTCTTAGGACATGCACTGTATGGATGTATTGAGCGTGTGTGCATTTTTTTTATCAATAATATATAATATTTAATATTTTTGTTGCAATTATCTCACATGATTGGAAACTTTGTGACTAAACTGCAATAGTTTCTTACATTATTTCTCTACAGCAAGTAGAATTACTTATAAATCACTCATAATAATATATGAGATATATTATATATTATTAATAATCAATATTATTATTAATATTGACGCCTTATTGATTAAATTGATGAACTTGCCTCTTGCCAAAATGCTACTAGTTTAAATTTATTTAAAAAAATTAACACATTTTTTTTTGCAAAGAACTTAATTTTTAAACATATAGACAACTAATACAAAATATGGACCTGCCTTTTAACATTTTATTGTCTTCTAAGCAATCAAACAACTATTAATAATAATAATAAATTTTGGAAGCATTTTTTAAATTACTGCAGGCTTAAAATACATTGTTTTAATTATAGAAAAATTTGAAGTAATTCATAAAAAAATAACTAATATTTCTATTTCTTTTGGACTCTTATTTAATGAGAATATAAAATAGTTAAATATAATATAGTAACTAGTAATAATAATTATGAGATTTTTTTTAAATAAATATAGACCTAAAAAGCTACAATAATAAATAGAAAATTTTAAAGTAATTTATTAAAAATAAAATGAATTTTTCAAATTTTTTATTTTAAATTTATTTATTTTTAATACATATAGTTAAGTTATATTGGTGCTATAATAGTAATAAATTATTACTATTATTACTAATAATATTTATGAGCAGTCTTTTACAAAAACGTATTTAAAATAGCTTCAATATACAGAAAATTTTCAAGTAATTTATCAAATATAAAACGAATATTTCCATTTCTTTTAGACGCCTTTTTATTATTCAGAATATTTAATATACAGCATTTTAGATAAGAAATGCGACTACATTATTTTACATACGATATTTTATGTATGTATGTTACGATATTTTATGTATGTATGTTATACGATATTTTAAATATGTATATTACATATTTTATGTACATAAACGCACTCAAAAGTTGCCTCGTTGGCGAATTCTTTACATTTAAAATAATTTTCTGCATTTTAAACACGAAATATAAACTATTTTTCTTATTTCTATAGAAAACAATAAATATTCACTTATACAGTTTGATTTTGAAAGTATTTTGTAAAATGAATAAACCAAAGAAATGTATGTTCAAATGAGTCACTTCAGGGATGGTATTTGGTTTTGTAAAATATAATTAATGAAGATTTATTTATAAAATATTTTAAAAATTGTTTGTTACAATTATCCAATTATATTAGTAGTATGAATATTAGTAAAACATAAAAAAAATTATTTTAAAACTAATCTTTAACTATAATATATTTTTAATCCTATCCTAAAGATATATTTGATATTCATTTAGTATTATTAGACAAAATTGCAGGTCTAAGTCTTGCACATCTCTTCAATGAGTATTGATATCAGTTTTTACTTAAAAGTTTAGATAAAACTCGGTTTATGTGGCATTTTGCTTCGAGACAGTTTGTATCAACTTCGGCTTAATTAATAAGAAATCATTATAATAAATTATGAGTGATTTATAAGTATACCGAGTTGCTGTAGAGCATTGTACTGTGCGTTTATTCCTTTAATTTCGACAAATTTTCCAAACATTTTAATTATTTCAAATAAAATATAAATATAGACATATAAACGTACTTGTTTATAATACATATAATGAGTATTTTCTAAAAGCATGGTCCAATATTCTTTATCAACTCTGATGATATTTTATAATTAAACGACTTTTCGTAGGCTTATGATATTTTATCAACTCTACCATCATACAAAGTTTAATTAAAATCATCTTTTTCGATAACAATTAATTTCAAAAAAACGGTTCGACTGATCTTTACCAAAAACAAATTTGCACGATTACTAACAAATATCTTTATAAAGGTTTTTAAAATTTCAACATTGACTCATCCTCAGGTATTTCTGTCGACGAAAAATTTTGCTCTATTTTGCTAATTCTAAAGAAATGGCTTTACCCTTCGTCTCTCAAAACTTATTAAGGGGGGCGATACATGTAACAAGAAAAAAAAATCGATTTTTTTTTTTACATAAATCGTTACAATAACATCTCAAAAATATGCCTGTAAATATTCAAAACAAAATTATCATTATTTATACAATAAAAACTCATTTATGTGCCACGCCTCAACTCGACGCTTGAGTGCTATTGTACTCTTATCTGTTTCTGTGTCAAAACTTTAAACGCGTTTTTCTCAAAACGACATTTTTGAAATCTGCGGGCGGGATAACTCAAAAAGTTCTCAACCGATTCCAATGAAATTTTGCACACATCTACTTTACAGTAATAGCTTCTAGTTAAACCTCAAACATTCCAAAAAAATTTTCAAAAATTAACCCTTTTACCAAAAAAAACCATTGAAAAAAAGGTGAAAAATCGAACTTTTTCTTCTAAGGTGTGCCAATTTACGATTTTGTGACTTTTTTAATTTTTTTTGGTTTAACTAGAAGATATATGTTTTATGAACACGTACAAACTAATTTTTTGAAATTCAGATCACCGTACGAAAAGTGAGAACGCCCGCAAATTGATGGCGTTTTCCGAGAGGGTCTTGGCAGATTTATTTTTACGGCAGCCATTTAAAAAAAAAAAAATAAAAAAAATTTTTTTTGTGTATTTTAATATATAATAAATAACCCTAAAAAAGTTCAAAAAGATTCAATCATTCCTTCCCAGTTTAAAAAGTCCTCAAAAAATGGTAAAAATTAAGGCGATTACATGTATCGCCCCCCTTAAAGCGAGTCCTTGTCGAGGTTATTGAAATGAGATTTAATTTTTTGAAACCGGTGCAGGTGTTTTTGAGAAAATGTTAAATGTTGGCTCACACATATATTTTTTCCAATTTCAGTGTCAAACGACTCAGAATGCCTTGGAACGTCGAGATAACATAATGGATTTTTTAGCTAAAACGTGACCTTCGGAAAGTCAAAAAATTCAAATGTGTGGAAATAAAAATAATTTGCGTGGAAAACCAATATCATAAAATTTCTAAAAATATTATGAACGTTGTATCTTATGTCATATATAAAAATTAAGCTCTGTATTATGTTAGGTATGCTAAAACTCAAAAACGGCTGAACCGATTTAACCGGTTTTTGTCTTGTATGTATTTGTACTAATCCGGAGATAGTGCAAAAAGTGAGAAATTATTTCAAAACCGCGTAGAAATTTTACATTTTTGATTTAAATTTTTTTGTAGAATCGTAATTCAAAATGAAACAATTGCCGGCGGCTCATACGTCAAATGATAAAAATATAATGTAGACGGCTAAATACTATTGCCCGTCCAATAATAAAAATATACCACATAATTTATGTAATAATTTGTCTGGTCATGGCTGTACCTTGTTTTTTACACCCAAGTTTGAGTATTTTATGTA